TCTGACAGAGTCGGGAAATGTTGGGTCTAATCTCTGTTTCAAGTTTCACTCAAAACAACCTCCACCAACATCTTAGGAAGACTGTTACAGTGAGTTTGCAGAGAGGGAAGGGAAGGCCTGGGATGCTCTCTCCCCCTTCATTGTGTCAACAGAAGGGCAAGACTCCCAATAAAAAGAGATGTTGAGGCATTGCATTTTTCATTGCTTGCTCTCCGTGTTCTGGGATCTCTCTCCACCCCAACAGCTCTGGGTCTTGTTAGCTGAGGCTGCACATTAAATATCATACAATTTTATTCGTCCCATATACCTCAATAAAACCGTGCAAGGGAGTCACAAGTGCGCTATGCACAGATACCTCTGATCAGAAACAGGCTCAATCAGCAGCTTCATTCTGATCAGTCTCTGTGAGAACAGGCCTCACCAAGGGCACTGAATGAGGGACCCACACAATAATTATAGCAGTGAAATGTGCTTCCGCTGTTCACAGCCCGTTAAGGTTTGCGGTGGGTGGGGGGGAGTGAGGGAAGTCATTCATCTGCCATCCACTGTTTTCCAAGTCGCACACTCAACAGCTAGACCCCTGGCAGCAGCCCAGGAATCTGACATACGACCAGTGAAGGAAGGACTGCCTCTGATTTCGGATTTGCAGAGCCAGCACTGAGACTAACCAGACCCAGTGGCCCAGGGGACACCACTAGAGTTCAGCCTACCTAAACCATCAGCAAAGGGGGCCATGCATTTAGGGGACCCTCAGGATATTGAGGGTTCCTAGTGCCAGTGGCTTTGGCTACACCATGGAGCTAAAAATTTCTTCGGAAGGGATAGGTATGACTTTTTCTTGTCAACATGGCATGTTGCTGGAAAGAGTGTGCCTTCATTCTTGAATAGGCACTTCCATTCGACACGAGAAACGTGAGGCCCTTCCTTACTCTCTTCCCAGTGAGTCCATGTTGACTCATTCCAAAAGTGGAATATGAAGCCACACAGTGAAAACACTACTAAGAGTCAGTTTTGAGGAGAGCACACTAGCAAGTTAATCAGTGTATTGTTAAAAATTTATTTATTTAGTTTTAAAACTGCTGTTTCAAAACAGTACACCAGTTAACTGTGTTGCACGAGCCCCCAAATCACATACCATGGGGTGCTTCTGGGTCGAGGCTTCCTCCCTTTGCCAGAGGCTCCAAATGACAGACACAGCACTCACAGAGACCTGTGCTGTCTCCCACACCCGAGGGGTTCAGTAAGACTTGACTTCCTTCTAGGTGACAGGAAGGAAACAAGAGGATTTTTCCTTCACTGCTGGAGGGACTGAGCACTTTACTAGTGAACTTTATTGGGTTCTGAATTGCTTGGGTTATATCAGCCACCCCTACTGGCAGAGGTGATGGCACATTAGACAGAGCGATTAAGACTGAGGCCTCTAACAGGCCAACAGACAGAATATCACATACGTTATGAAAACTTGGTACATCAGAGGTGGACGGAAACCCCCCAATGATGGCAAATGAAAGGCTGTGTGTCTCAGTAACACTTCTCTACCTGCACCTCACCCTGATTGGGACAATCCCGTCTGGAACTTCTGGAATGGGGAAGCAAAGCCTATAACACAACAATTCCTATTACATTGTGACATAGAAACAAACTGGTTGTTGAACTTGTTCCAAAGGGTCCTGCAATGGTCTGTTTGTGTTTCCTAAAAATACATATATTGAAACCTAACCCACAAGGTGATGGCATTTGGAGGTGGGGCCTTTGGGAAGTGACCTGAAGGCTCTGCCCTCATGAAAGTGATGAGTGCCCTTTACAAAGAGACCTGAGAACTCCCTCCTCTGTTCTGTCTTATGACAATAGCAGAAGGCTGCAACCCAGAGAAAGGCCCTCAACAACCACACTGGCACCCTGATCTCAGATTTTCAAACTCCATACCTGGGAGATGTGAACTCGTTTTCTACACTATACACCTGTGAATTTTCTTGTAGCAGTCCACACAGACTCAGAAAGCACTCAATTACCACATCAACTCAACTTCCCACTGTTACTATGGCAACACACAAAGGTTAGTCCTTGTACTGCTCAATTACTATCCCATCCTCATGGCCAAGACTTCAAGAAATGTAAAGGGTATAAGATTTTACCCCATTTGCAAACCAGTAAGTGAGCCTGCCAGCTGCATGGATGCTGCAAGAAGACACGAGACTCCAGGGACCAAGACAAAAGGCAGTATTATTCACACACAATAGGCAGCAAGAGGTTCGTGGTCACATCTGTTCCCTTGTTTCCACATATAACATCGTGTATTCTGAAATAATTGAAATTTGTTAGCTTATCAGAAAAAAATAGAATTCACTATCCACACATACAGCAATTCAGTTCTGGAAGGACTGCCAATCTAAAGATTAATGTGATATAAAGATTTTGGGGGCACCTGGGTTGATCAGTCATTTGAGCTGCTGACTCTCGATTTCTGCTAAGTAGGGGGAGATCAAGCCCCATCTTGGGTTCCACCTGAGAGCGGAGCCTGCCAAAGATTCTCTCCCTCTCTCTTTCTCTCGCTCTTTCCATCTGCCCCTCTCCCCCTTCATGCTCTCTCTCTCTACAATAAAATTAAAAATAACTTAAAAAAGGGAAGTATTCTTGAACAGAAATAAGCATTATGTATAAAGGAGGAAAGAGTTATATTAACATTAAAACTTTCTTCTTTCTTCTCGGGGCACCTGGGTGGCTCAGTTGGTTAAGTATCTGACTTTGGCTCAGGTCGTGGTCTCACCGTTTGTGAGTTTGTGTCAGCTGTGCTGATAGCTCAGAGCCTAGAGCCTGCTTCAGATTCTGTCTCTCTCTCTCTCTCTCTGTCTCTCTCTCTCTCTCTCTCTCTCTGCCCCTCCCCCACTCATACTCTGTGTCTCTCTCTCACAAATAAACATTAGAAAATAAAAAGAATTTAAAGACTTTCTTCTCATCAGCACATACAACGACAGGCAGCATGTGGGTAACTCAGTTCAGCATCCCACTCTTGAGTTCAGGTCAGGTCAAGATCTCACAGTTTGAGGGTTTGAGCCCATCATCAGGTTCTGCGCTGACAGCATCAAGCCTGCTTGGGATTCTCTCTCCCTCTCTCTCTCTGAGTGTCCCCCAACTCGTGCACATGCTGTCTCTCACTTTCTCTCGCTCAAAATAAATAAATTTCAGGGGAAAAAATGAACATACAAAGACACAGAGAGAGCATGAGAAAAAAGAGACCAAGAAAGGAAACATGTCTAACAAATATACAGACCTACTACAAAACATTGAGAAAAGGACAACACGAGAGGCGCCTGGGTGGCTCAGTCAGGTGGGCATCCGACTTTGGCTTGCATCATGATCTCCTGGTTTGTGAGTTCGAGCCCTGTGTCGGGCTCTGTGCTGACAGCTCGGAGCCTGGAGCCTGCTTCTGATTCTGTCTCCCTATCTCTCTGCTCCTCCCCTGTTCACACTCTGTCTCTCTCTCAAAAATAAACATTTTTTAAGACAAATTAAAAAAAAAAGAAGTTCACTACTTCGTACCAGTGCACACCAACCAGAAGTCAAAAAGAAAAAGGAAAAAAAAACCAACACTGTTGACAAGCATGTCCACAAACCAAAAACCTCCTACACTGCTGGTGGGTGTGAACGTTTGTACAATTTTTCAAACTCCTCGGGCACTGTTTCCTAAAGGTGCAGAGATGTAAACCTGTCACCATTCAATTCCATTGTTACTTCTATGGCCAGCAGAAAGTTTTATGCGTGCTAACAAAGCATGGTAGAAATTTACGTACGGCATTATTCCTAACAGACCACCACTATCCTAATTAAAAGTGGAGTGACTGAGTTAATAGTTTCAAATTTATGCAGGAGAACCCTCTCTTCAGCAATGCCAATGAATGATCAGTAACAACATGCAGCAGTAAGTTCACAAACAACAGAAAAAATGACAAAAGCCAAATACAGAGAGTTCATGCTCTATTACTTCCTTTATATCAGTACTAAAGAGCTTAAAGTGACCTACGCTGTTCCATGTCACGGCATGTATGACCGTGATGAGGACTGACTGGTAAGGAGCACAAGGGGCTTCTGAGTCTGACAATATTTTATCTATTGAACCAAATACCTGGTACAGAGTGTGATCACTTTGTGAACTTTCCTTGAGCGACACACTTATGACAGGAGAATGTGCCCTTATATATTTTTAAAACATACTTTTATATATTTTTTTCTTTTAGAAAGAGAGACAGGGCACAAGGCTAGGAGAGGGGCAGAGGGAGAGAGAGAGAATCTCAAGCAGGCTCCACATTTATCATGCAGCTCGATTCTCTCTCTCCTTCTGACCCTCTATTCTCACACTCTCTCTCTAAAATAAAAATTTTTTTAAATCAGCTAAAATTTTAATCTATGCTCTCCACTATCTGCTCCAGTCCAATCTGACCATTTCTATCTGAAAATGTTTACTCATGCTCACCTCCTATGCTCCCATAACATCATACTTCACCTGACTAACTACCACCTTCCTAAGGATGAAATGTGCCACAATCATAACTGGGTGTCCAAGGCTTTATTCATTTACTGAATTTTTCCTCTGATACCATTCTCTTCAGTGTCAGTGTTGAGCAGCCACAGGCTGATCCATTTCCAGGCTCCTTTTGCTTTAATTCCATGCCTACATCACTTCAGGGATATTTGCTGTAACAAATTTACAGGACACTCCCAAAGAGTTCTGCATAATATCCAGATTGTTTCAGGATCTGATGATTGAAATTGCATAATTTATGAACTCCTCCACTAAAATCATTAGCAAAACTTCAATAAGGATTTATAAGATAATGATATAATATTGCATTATGATTACTATTGTAACTTATTTTTCACTTTAAAGGAGATGTCAAACATGTTCTGCTTACCATTATTAAGTTAGCCTCTCACAATTATACAGGACTCAGAGGTGAAGAAGGAATAACTGGCATGAGTAACATTATGGAAATTCCTACAATTTACACAATTCTCATAAAATGAGGGCATTTTATATTCCTTATACAGGGAAAGCAGACCATGGATACCCTGGGGTCTCGGCTCATGAGCAGAAAGGGACTGACAGCTGGGAAACACAGACTGATCACTGAACTGGTGTTCACGAGGTACCAGGTGGGACAGTCAAAAACAGACAAAACAATTTGAAAGACCGACGAAAGGGTATTAAAGTAGACAAAGGTACACACCAGGAGGAAAATGGTTTTGGTGGCTGTGGACTCAGGGGATGATGTGGAGGAGACGCTGGTCCGATGAATGTGTTGGACCCTCTGCTTGTGCTGGTACAGAAGGAAAACCATAGAAATGCTGGCCCAGAGCATGAGCCCCACATACAACACATCAGGTAATGTTAACAACATTGTATTCAATGAATTTCTGGTTTTCTCATAACGAACAGCTGAACAGTACCCGAAACTTTTTCTGTTTGTGAGGTTATTCTTGTTCAAAGTGCTACCCATAACCACAGGATACATGATATTTATCAATATCTGCAAGACCCAGCATAGGACAAGTGAAGGGACAAGGCACTTGAGAGCTTTCTCTTTAAGCGCTGTCCATCTGGAGTTCTGGGGGCTGATCGTGATGGCCTGGAAGACACTCAAGAGGCAGGTCATGCCAATGGACACGCCCCTGCTCACGCCGCGAACATAGGGGAAGAATTTACATCCAAAATCACTGAACATGTTATACCACCCAAAAGTTGACAGGGTATGGTGTATTCCAAAAGAGACCAGGACCAAAATGTTGGCTACAATCAGGTTCTTGACAATCAAATCTGTGGGCCTTGGCCTACACCCAGTGAAAGAAAAAAGGACATAATGGTAAAGAAGAGACAAGTTCCCCAGGATTCCAACCACAGTCTGGATTAAGAAGATCACTCTTATTGCCAGATCCCTGGTGGCCATCCTGTCTGTCCTCAGTGACTGATACTTGTCTTCTGGGCTAGAGGATCCTGCGTGGGAATAGGAGGCAGAGGCCAGACAAATCATGTCAACTGAAATCTGATATTCTCCACTCACCAACACTTCTTACTCTCAAATAATTAAAGTTCTTCAGTCATTTGAGGCCTTCCAAGAGTTGCATGAACAACCATTACACAACACTTGCTATGTGTGAAACAATAGTATAACTACCACCCATGAAATAACTTATTTCTCATTAAATACATGAGGCAGGCACTGCTGCCTTCCTTAGAAACATAAGGGCCACAGAAGAACAGAGAGGTTAAGTGCTTGTCTACATTCACTCGTTAATTAGGGGCAGACAGGTGATGAGAACCTGGCTGCGCTGTGCAGAAAGTTAGTGCATTCAATTAATGATATACAAAAACACTGCTTAGCTGTGTTCTGTAAATAAACCAGATCTATATTTAGCTTTATGTTTACACTTTGCCATTTCAAGATGGATGGCGGTATTTACATGCAATTTTTGCTAACGAAAATGTTCCATTATTTATGAACACCCTTTCTATAAGCAACTATAAACCGTGAATACCACCCTAGAGATCTCAGAAAACTGTAGATGCACTGATTGCTGTCCAACAAAGCTGCAGGTTCCTGCCTCATGGAAACCTGGTTTTAATGAATGCAAGAAGGGCTCCATATTAGGAAGGCAACAGAAGGAATCATTGTTTTTTTCCAGAAACAAAAGTACTATTCCTAAGACCTTGGAACTCAAGACAGAAAACATTAGTTCCTGCTTAAACAATGTATACTGGGAACAAAATTACTACTATTTTCACAATCTATAGGTATCAATTTGTTAAAACCTCAGTTAAATAAAATTAGTAAAAGTTAAGCATGATTTGTGAAAAATACTGAAATATAAGGGGCGCCTGGGTCAGTAAGTTAAGGGTCCAAAACTTGATCTCAACTCAGGTCTTGATCTCTGGTCCTGAGTTCAAGCTTGTGTTGAGGTCTGTGCTGGGCATGAAGCCTATTTAAGGAAAAAGAAAAAGAAAAGAAAGACAGGACACATGCATAATGGAATGTCAGGCAAATACCTTGTGTGACTTGTAAGTGAAATAATCTTGGATTGGTTTTATAATATTTAATAGAGCAGAAATATCATAAGATACATTGGAGGCTAAGAATCTTGCAAGAAACTTACTAAGTTCTATTTTTCTTACGTGCTGCTTCCCTGTTAACTGGGAAAAGCCTCTCCATGTTTAATTCACAGACACTTCTTGTATCTATTAAACACTTCAAATACCTGGAGTTAGAGAAAACAATTCTAAACCAGCACCTGTGATCACACAGAATGTTTATAGACTTTTTTTAAGTTTTACTTATTTGAACAATTTCTACATCCCACATGGGGCTTAAACTCATGACCCCAAGATCAAGAGTCCCATGAGCTTCCAACTAAGCCACCCAAGTACCCCTTAAACACACTGTTCCTACACACGATGATATGATACTAGAGATTCATCAAACTCTTTATTTCGAATCAAGGTTCTGAGGGCACCTTAGAAACCTCACAGTAATGTCTGTGGTCCCTGTAACACAGAATCAAGAGCAGACTGTCTCCAGAACTACAGTACTTAAGTACATTAAAAATCACATTCCATGGGGCGCCTGGGTGGCGCAGTCGGTTGGGCGTCCGACTTCAGCCAGGTCACGATCTCGCGGTCCGTGAGTTCGAGCCCCGCGTCAGGCTCTGGGCTGATGGCTCGGAGCCTGGAGCCTGTTTCCGATTCTGTGTCTCCCTCTCTCTCTGCGCCTCCCCCGTTCATGCTCTGTCTCTCTCTGTCCCAAAAATAAATAAAAAACGTTGAAAAAAAAATTAAAAAAAAAATCACATTCCTTTGGAGAAATTGAATTACTACATTGTACACCTAAACTAATATAACTATATTAACTCTACATTAACCAACTAGAATTAAAATAAAAACTTAAAAAACACAGATTTCATGACCACTTGGGTGAAACCACATACTCACTGTCAGTGAGGATTACACTACACGCCTTAGGAGCCATCAGGGTTGGGTGTAGGTCTAGGACCCCATCTCTCTATACCAGCTCAGCTCCTGGCTCAGGAGGTAATCCAGCTTCCCGTGTGGCTTTGGCACTGAGCCAGATTCAAACGCAGAAAACCCCCTTTGTTCAATCTGGTCACTTACCTGGACTCCTGACACAGTTCCTTCCCTTACAGAGTCTACCTCTCAGATGAACACGGAGAAAACCCGCCTACTTCTTCCTGCTGCCTGCATGATGGGCTCCGTGTTGACGGTCAGAGAAGTGAGTGCGTGTGCAAGATGGGCAGCCGGGCCCTGAGATGCGTTTATGACTGTGTGACCGCCCCCCGCCCCCGCACCTCACAACAGCAATCAGCATTTCACCTGAAGCGGCACTGGCAGTGACAGGTGTGGGACCTGAGAATATTTTTGCCAACTTTCTCCCCACTGGCCAATTACCAAGAACAACTACAAGTTTCTAGCTAGCGCCTCTAGAGACCACTGGCGTGTGGGAAAGGGCGCAAAGCCTGAGGGAAAGAAGCCTGGGCAGGAGGGCACCGTGGGCCCGGGACAGAAAACGCCGGAGGGGAGAATGGGTATTTGTGAGACACGGAGCCCAGGTCAAGGGCTGGGGTGACAGGGTTGAGAGAGAGAAGTAAAGGTTTTCAAGTTATAAACACGTGGCCTCTCAGGGGGAAGAAAGGACGCAGCATTTGACCTGCATATCAGTATGAGTCTGAGAAAGACGTTTTCCTCCTTGTTCTTCAATTTTCCGCCCATGTTCTCACTCTCTGGAAAAACGTATTTTGTAAACACGCATTTTTTATGGCATCAGCATACCCCTTCTTTTATGGTTTGTACGGTGTCCCATCAAACCGAATACGCTGAAGTCTTAAGCTCCAGGACCTCAGAATGTCTCTTTATTTGGGAACAGGGTCATTGCACATGGAATTACTTAAGATGAAGTCATATTAGAGTAGGGAGTCTCCTAATCTAACATGACTGGTGTCCTTACAAAAAAGGGGGGGGGGCGTAAGTTTGGGGAAAAAATGCACACGGGGTGAACACCGCATGAACTTTGCTGCCACGATTCAAGGAAGCAGAAGTTGGACAGTGGCCCGAAAGGATTCCCCGAGGGCCTTCAAAGGAAGCACACCCGTGAGGACAACTTAATCTTCAACTTTTAGCTTCCAGAACCACCGGACATAAATGTCTGTTGTTTCAGCCAATCCTTGTAGGGTCCTTGTTATGGCAACCCCTGCAACTGTCACACCTTCCTTTTCACCTGCCTCCCCACGGGCAGAAGCACCTTCGAATGCAGAAAAGTCCCCCCTTCTACGTCCTTTTCCACAAGAGGGACTCATGACCAACACAGACAGCTCTGATCTGAAGGTTTTCATACTATGAGTTTCCCCTCCCCCGTCTTAGAGACATTGCCCTCCTAGAAACATCTCAAATCCTGCTACAGCACTGGGGACAGGACTGCACCCAGATCCTCCTACAAAACCAGGCACAGCAGACCCCTGTCACCTCCCCATGGGCCAGAGCTTGGGCTCCACTCTCAGAAATGAGTCCTGGAGACACAACAACTCACAAAATGCAGGTGGGGGAGGTGTGAAGAAGCACAAGTAATGGTGTTTCTAAAACCCCCTGCTGATCCTAAGTGTGACACTGACAAAACAGTAATGGTTGGTGAGTTTAGATAAAGAGTCTGCTCTAGGGGCACCTGGGTGACTCAGTCAGTTAAGCATCCGACTTCTGCTCAGGTCATGATCTCGCAGTTTGTGAGTTCAAGCCCCACGTCGGGCTCAGACAGCTCAGAGCCTGGAACCTGCTTCAGATCCTGTGTCTCCCTCACTCTCTGCCCCTCCCCCACTTGCACTCTCTCATGCACACTCTCTCTCAAAAATAAATAAACGTTAAAAAATTAAAAAAAAAAAAGAGTCTGCTCTAGGTTTACATTTGCTCTCAGATTACATTTTCTCCTTTACATTTTCTGTTAAATTGTTCAACATGATAAGTAAACATTAAATGAAAAGTTATGGCATGAGGGTACACAGATCCTGGGATATTGTATTTTACAGTCATTGCAAGGGCAATTTCGCAAGTATTCATGGACTGTGAGAACATGCAAAAATGGTGGAGGAATCATCCCATCTCAAGAACCACTGAGACTATCCACATGTGCACAAAGCAACTGGACCAACTACTGATACCCCATGACGTGTGGGATAGCCAACATTTAACCCTTTTTTAAAAATTACAAAATATCATTATTTCTTCCTAATACTATAGGAATGTTGGATATTTAAAAAAAAATAGAGAAAGTTGTTTTTTGGTTTTTCTTCTAATTCCAATTAGTCAACATATACTGCTATATTAATTTCAGGTAGACAATATAGTGATTCAACACTTTCATCAAATACATGGTGCATGTAACAACAAGTGCACTCCTTACTCCCCACTGGGTCTTTATTTATTTATTTTTTTTCTCCTTTTTTCCCCACTGGGTCTTTAAAACATACCCCGCATCCAGCTCCCCTCTTGTAACCATCAGCGTGTTCTCTATACTTAAAGAGTCAGTGAGAAGCACCTCAGTGGTTCTGTCGGTTAAGCATTCAACTTTGGCTCAGGACATGATCTAACAGTTTGTGGGTTCAAGCCCACTGTCAGCCTCTGTGCTGACAGCTCAGAGCCTGGAGCCTGCTTCAGATTCTATGTCTCCCTCTCAATATGCCCCTTCCGGGCTTGTGTCCTATTTCTCAAAAATAAACAAACATTAAAATTTTTTTAATTAACAAAAAAAGAGTCAGAGAAAATTTAAAGGTCTTTTCATCTTAGCCAGATATTCACTATCAAGAATTTTTTTCATTTAACTCTTATACGCATAAAAACTTTTGCCTGTGTTTAGATAAAATGACTCATTAATAATCATCAGGGAATAAACTGAAGTTTTTCGGGGAATATTGGAGAGCTATTTCTATTGCATAAAGATATCTCCTTTACAGACCAATGACCAATAAAAACTATTTGATTGTAAAGTATGGCCAGTATAACAATATTTATGTACACACTGAATCAAAACAGAGTATCTTCAAAAGTGTGTATTTATTTTTATGTCATTTCTGAGATAACATCAGATATACTCCAATGCTACGTTGAGAAACAAAATAAATCTAAATATGAAGAAAATCATTACATTTGGAGATGGAAATTGCATCAGTTTTGAGTATCAACACCTCATGTTATTGTTTACCATTACATATGTTTCCATATTTA